AGAAGTGTAAAATGGTAAAACTTTAAAATGGTAATTTGTCAACATCCATCAAAATGTTTAACGTACCTATCATTCGACACATTACTTCCACAGACATATAAGTGGCTGAAGACATATACACACAAGGTTCACTGCAACAGTATTTATAACAGTGCTACTGAAACACGGTCTGCACAGCAGTGATAATCTACAGATGGCTTGTTATTAGTCTGCTGGGAGATCAGGGGCCAGAATGTAATTCAACTACACTTCTAAGAGCACTGAGTTCAGGTGACAATCTTTTCTCATAGAAAGAATTTCTTGATTGAGAAAACAGTATATTGATTTGTATTTTGACGAAAGCTCCTTATCTCGATGTGAAACAGCACTTTTAATAGAACTAGTTTGTAATAACTAAAAATTGGAAATAACTCTTAAGTCCATAGGGGTATTTGTTGGATACATTTAATAACCTGAAACCAAAATCCTATGCATTCATTTAAAATAAGGAAAGCTACATATAGCATATATGTATATATACTGCATATGTATACACACATAGGATGGAGTGTAAAAAATGTTGCAAAGCAGTAGGAATATAGTACCAAGTACAAGATGAAAAAGCACAAGGTTGTATGTACATAGAGTTTCTGGAAGCATACACAAGACGTTGTGAACCATGGTTATCTTTGGGATGTGGGATTGGGATCGTGGAGGGATAGGGCATATGGGGTTTTTTATCTGTGTCCCTCTACACGGCTTCAGTGTTTCTACAACTAGCACAAGCTACATTTATAATGTTTTAAAACATGAATTAAAAATTTTTGTTTAGAAGTCATGAATCAGGCTCACTGCAGATCAAGTTTCCAGAAACTGGAAATTTGGGCTGAGATTTGTTTCAGAAGACTTACTGAGACAATCTTTACATGGGATGAATTTCCATGGAGTCATTTGTGTAAAGATGTAACAACACATCAGCTTGTTTTTCCAAACTCAGAAATCTGTTTTTCTCACCTTAAAAAAAAGTTTATTATGGCCAATGCACACACCTCCCAAACCAAATTTTTAGTTCATCTCTAGGATGGGTCTCAAAGCTAGGAAGCGGTGAAGTCAGGACTCTATCCCTGAAGTGTGACAGTCAATGACCTAATTCTGATCATAACTGTTATAAAGAAGCACAGGACCAAAAGACTCTGTTCTCAAGAAGGCCCAAAGATGGTGGCACATAACAAGTCTTTTCAAAATCTAGGGGTCCTATGTGCTTCACGGAAACCACAATTTATTCTGCCAAAAATTATGGGATATTAGGCCTTTCAGAGTCATCTGGAACTCATTAATAATCATTAACATTTGTACAGTACCCTGCAGTTGGCAAAGCACTTTTCTATCCACTGTCTTACTTCATCCTCATAACAGACCTTTGGAGTAGGTAAATTTCATAGATCAAATTTTATAGATGCAAACACTGGGTACAGGAGGCTTATGCTTATTCCCCAGAGTCACTCAGAAGTGAAGAGGCCTAGCCAAGTTGCGCGGGCCCAAGTTCTACCACCACCCCACACTGCCTTCCAAGGCGTGGTCGACCTAAGCGGCCCCAGACGGAAGAGTCCGCGCAGCTTGCTCTTATTTTCTGTGTTTATTTGCATGATGTTATGCCTTTGCGCTGGATGAGTTTAAAAGCAGACCACGGCTGTTGCCACTGTTTGCTAAACATTGCTACTTGGAGCAGGCAGAGTACAGACAGCAGCCTGAGTTCTTAGTCATCTTGAACAGGATCAAGCAGGACAAAAAGAGGGGAAAGCAATTCTTGCTGTTCGGAATGAAGGCGTCGCACATGCTGCGTTTTCTATGGGGATGTCTGTTCTTCCCTACCTTTGTTCCACTTGAAGCTTTTCTCCAGGAGTTTCAAACTAATGACAATGAAATGATCTTTCTTGAAGTTCTAATTCTGATACCAACTTTTACCATTTCACTGCAATCTTTCACATCAGACAGCTTTCCTTTCTCAAGGCTCTTTATTAAACTACCCACATCTCATATTCCATTTATATTTCTACTTTCTTGCACATAAACCCTATATAAGGGAATTAAAATTATGTGATAATACCTCCCATTTATCGGGCACCTATTAAATGCCAAGCACTGTGGTAGGCACTTTATATATTGTATATTATCTCTGAACCCTGCAGCAAAGTCTACAGGGTATAACTCATTACTTTGCCTTTGCAGATGAAGAAACTGAAGCTGAGAGTGGCTGAGTCTGGACACTATAGTAGTGAGTGGCGGAGCTGGGATGCAAACGTACACCTGTTTAGCCTCAAAGCCAAGGTTCTCTCCAGTGCACAGCACCCAGTAATAATGCGTATTGTATTAGCTACTGGAAGAAGGTTTTTAATGAAAATGTTCATTCTGAAGTTATGTATTTGAACAGTTAGCATCATACTTTTCCTCGGCTCTTAAAGGGTGGGTTGGTGGTCTAAGGTAATGAAATGCAACCCTAATACAAATGCAGTGCCCCGATATCATATCCCTGACCAGCCTCAGGAGAATTATGGCATATAATGGACCCTTGTGTTCTACTGCCCTCTCCACCTGGTCAGCTCTCAAAGGAAAACAAAATTCATATGATCATTGAGGTCTAGAAATTAACTTTTATTTTAAATCTGTCAAGAACTCCTGGCAGTTATTAAATTTATTAAAATGATTACATATGGCAAAACAAAGAATAGAGGTAATTCTATTTCTCTACAACATAAATTATGAGTTAGAGTCTCAGCAGCTGACTCAGCATTGTTGAAGATGCTTTTAAAGGATCGGGGGGACTTTGATTTCCAGAAAATGTGAAAGCAGCAAAAGAAAAAATAAAGTAAAAGTAATTGCAATTGGAGCTATTATGCCAGGATGTGCTAATTATCAAATCGCCTTGATGTATTTATAGGCCAGACTCTAAGCTTTGGTATTTAAAGAAAATCATGTGAAGAGCTGTCCTATACTGGCTTGTCATCCATGGTTTATAACACAGAACACATCTGTTGATTCTTTTGGAAAAGATGGTAAAAATGAATTATGACTAATTCCAATTAAAAAAAAAAACAACCAGCATCCATTCACCTAACTGAAATATGTAAAAACAAAAACAATTTTATTAAAATATTTAGTACCAGAATAACTTATAATAGTATGAAAAAGAGTGAAATACTTGTCCTTAGTTTTCACTGACAGGATCACATTTTCGAAAAACTGTTTTATAAAGATCCCAAAGCTTTATCATGGATCTGTAACTACTTAAGGATCTTGAAACCAGAAGGACTCATACTTCATCTGATCATACAGTCATAACTTACATATCTTGCTCTGCACTTACTCTTACTGCAAACAGCAATTTGGAAAACGAAGTAAAAATATATATATGTACAAAATATCTTAATATCAAATTATTTTCATTACACTAAATAAACCCAATCCCCAAATGTTATGTTACATGAAAAAGTGTCCTACAATGTATATCAAGACTGATACTGTCCATATATCAACTAGAGCAGCCTCTGGTTTTAAAAGCATTTTGCAAAATAAAGGAAAATGTCACCACGTGGCTGCACTGTTGGCTGTCATTCACACTCACAAAAACGCTTTCCAGTTTCAAAAAAAATTTATAAAATAGGTTACATACTCAGAAAAAACATCCCACCATAAAAGAGACAAATCCTTTTTACTTCTCTGAGCACAAATATTCTGTTATATTTGGCATCCCTACTGTTTATTCAAATTTCAAGCCTCCCCAAGCTGATTAGAATATTAACGTTTGATTGAAAAAGATCTTTCTTGATAATTATTATTCTCACTCCGTGATAGTCTAATTTAGAAACAAAATGTTCTTTCTTTTAATACATGATTTCACCTTAATGTCCTATTTGGCAAAAGTCAGAGACTGTTCAATGTTTTGTTTCCCATATGTTTTAAATTTAAAAATCAATTTTGTGTGTATATATATGTATATTCACATCGAGATACATTTCTTTTATTACCTTGTTCTCAATGCAATATAAGTTGTCCATCAGCAACTGTAATTTGAAATGGACCAAATAAGAGGTTTTTAGCTATTCCATATGAAAAACAGTTTCCATTACAAAAAACACTGAACTCTAATGCAAACAGGATTATGTTTTTAAACCTAAACTATAGTTTTAGTTTTATACGGGAACATTTCGAGTTATTTACATAATAAACTTTTTGAAAACTTCAGCAAAACCTGAGAAAAAGAAAAATCCAAATCGATTCTGAAGAGCATTGTGGTGTTTTCCAGCAGTGCTTAAAAACTTCTTTTCTGATCACGTTCATTGCCATTTTTCTTGAATGTACACATTATGGGATCCCCGAACCTTTTATTTTGGAAGTTTGTAACCAACCAGATATGCAGGCAAGATACGTGCATAAAATTCTCACTGTCCCTCTGCAAAGCACACTGAACAATTTCAAATACTTCAGAATTTTTTTTTTAAAGGAACATTTCATTTGGGCTGAACAGATTTCCAAGTTTTAACATGTGAATTAGTGAATACATTTCAAGGGCTTTCAGCAATTATGGTTTGAGTCCTGGCGTGGGTAGGTCCATCTGGAATGGCACTCAGAGTCTCATGAGCATTGTGGTGTTGTCATTTTGAGGCACAGCTGCTCTACTATGCCCACGTTGCAGCTTATTTTCGGGAAAGCAAGGCACTTACTGTAATAGCAATGCAGACATTTTATGCATACTTGGAGTAACATAAAATAAGTTAATATTTTTGATTAAAGTGAGGTCTTATAATTTATACGTCTTTTATAGAAGCAACTAAATGATATATTTAGGACGATTAAAAATAGGAAGAGGCTTGAAAAGGAGTCATTTTCACTGCTGCTCCAGCCCCTAGGATGAGGGTTTATGAAAAAACACTGATGCGAAGAACAGCCATCGATCTGAAAAGTGACAAACTCTTAAAACTGCTGAAC